TTGACGATGAATGGTATACTGTCCACTGAAAAGGATCCCACGTGGATTACATAGGGGCCCAGGACTTTAGAAGTCTTAAATAAGATTAAGTGCTTTTTTCGCAACCTATGTGCCTTGTGTCTCTTTTCTAAGATCTCTAATAAACGTTAATATAACAATGCATGGTTAATGCAAGCCAAATGTAATTTAAGACTTTAAAATTTTTTTAAGGCATACTGTTTTTTAGAATATTTGTTTAAATTTTCTATACCCATTCCAGTCTTTCGTTTATTGAAAATCAGGCAATAAATTTTCATGGAACTAAATTAACAAATGAAACAACAAGAAATAGCATGTTATAGATTTAAATGCGTATTTGATTTTTTGATTAATTGAGTTCTATCCCAAACAATGCTGTAATGCTCCCATGTGAAACTTTAATTATATTATGATGAAATATTATCTTCTACCAAATTCAAAAACGGCAATTTTATTATTATAATTTTCACTCTCCTTCTTTATGCCAATAATTACGTGAAACGAATTTTACAGCATAATTTCAAAAGAAAACATTTTAAACACATGGACTACCTTAAAATCTCCGATTTCATCAAAAATTGACAAAAATGTTTTATAGTTTAATCCTGTGAGCAATTTATAAGGTATCCTAGTATACAATTTATAAAAAAACTAGTACAAAAGTTACAACTGTTTCAAAGAGAGAGCAGATGCCACACACACATTTCCAGCATGCTGTTACTGACTTTTTTGGCGGTCTAAATTTGAAAGGGAAACAGGGGGTTATGAATTTTCTTTGAAAATCTTATGTAATATTAGAATAATTTTGATCTACTTTTTAAGAAATCACTGCATTATTTTTAAAAAATTTACAACCATTTATACAACAGGTGTTTTTTTTTTATAGGCTATTTCGTATAGTGACTAGTTGTTAAGTTAACTATTCTATTTTCTTTTGTAAAAATATAAATACCTTTTAGGTCATTTCAAAAATGAATGGTATTGTAGCATATAAATAATTAAAAATTGAAAATTCGTGCATACATATTTTATTCAAAATGAGCCATTTCTATGTAATTTTTTACAAATTTTCATCAGTTTTTTTCCCATTCTGATTCTAAAATTTTTTTTCTTTTACACAAGTTAAACTATTTTCTCTCATATAACTCTAAACAAAACTAAAGTCCCATAAGAGGTTCTTTTTTTTAAAGCAATAAAAATTTTATTCAATATGACTCCTTTCTTACAGCAAACGATAAAACATTTCCTCGTTTCTAATTTTTTTTTTTTTTCTTTTCTTTCTGTCTTTCTTTATGGCGATCTTTTTCAAATTTCACACATGATCCTTATTTATTTCACACACATCACAAGCTAAAAAAATTTTACAATACTTAGTATATTCGAACATTTCCAACAAAAATTTTTATTATTCAAATACTTTCGTAAGAAGGGACACAAAAATAGAATTATTTGTTTTAAAAATGGCATGCTCCTTCATTAAAAAAAAAAAATGCTTTTAACGATAAACGCGCATCATTTAAAATTCTAGACTAAATCTAGGAGAGTTTATTTACTTTAAAATCAAATTAAGCGGCACTTTCTTTTTATATCGAACGTTTTGCCATTGTTTACGAAATGCTGCTTCGGCATTGTTTACTTTATCTCACGTGCTCTGATTACCGATGCGAAGAACAAATACTACGTAAAGGCCAAACAAATAGCATTTATTTTTAGGAACAACTGCCGAATGTGGAAGCTGAAAGTTCGAAGAATTCCAGGTAGAACAAATCTAATATTTGCATCGATTAACGGTTAAAAATACATGTACGTGTTTTATTATAACGGATATGTGAAAAGGTAAATCATTCATCATATTAAAATTTAAAAGTATTTAAACTGAATATATGGTTATGTGAATGCTGAAAACAATTCCAAAATCAAAATTCTAGATCTATTTCTTAAGCAAATTAAAATATTATATAAGAAAACGATATTTTTCGCAGTTTATACGTATATTTCAAAATGAGCTAATCCCTTAGGTTTAAGAGATTTTCTTTTTTTAAACTAGATACAATGTAATGATTTGTATAAAATTGTATTATAACTAAATTTTTCAATAGAAAATACATCTTTTCATTCATTTGAAGCGAATAAAATTAATTCGTTTATTTATGTAAAAGAATCTCTTATTTCAGATGGAGAGGAGAGAGGGGATAAAAAATCCTGTTTTGTGAAATATATATTTTTTATAAAAAAAAAAAATAGAAATAACACCGAAGTAAAAAAAAATATATGGATACATGATCGATAAATTAAAAAAACTGTCACACAATGCTTATTGTTTTATTAAATTAAAATATCAAATATCAAATATTAACTGCTAGAGTGTAATTATAAGTACGTATTAATAATTTATCATGCATCTCATATCTTAAATGCACGCTTGTTAAAAACCTAAAAAAAGCTTAAATATCTATTACAATATCTTTTTAATCACATAACACAAGCAAAATATGATACAAAATCACCGATTTAGATCAATGTATTTATCAATTGCAAAAATAGACAATACAAACGAATTAAAAATTAGAAAATTTTTGAGGAATCCTAACTTTAGAGCATTACCTTTAGTTTTGTGTTTACCGGCTTCTATATCCATAGTTTTTTAAGATTCATTCTTTTGATATTTTCTCCCCAAATCGATTATAAAACATGTCATACAATGTTTAGTTGACAAAAGAAATTTAACATCATATATTCATTCTATTGTAAAGAAAATGTTATTTTTTTTTTTTTCTCTTTGTGTTATATTACTAAACATACCACACATATAATTCTCATACAAAAATTTTATAAATAGTAATTTAAGCAACAGATTACTATAACTTTATTATTACGTTAAATTCCAAACAAAGCTTCATAATTTTAGCAACTATTTACAATCGTACTGAGAATTGAAAGACGGTTAAAAAAAGGAGAAAGAAAAAAAAAGTTAACAAAAAAGAGCGCCTTACTTCCCAGTTTGGTCTGGATGTGCTGGGTTCTTCTGGCCAGCATAAATCTTCAGACATGCTCGTAATGGTCAGCCAATTGGCCCGGCGAGGATCGGACACTGACTCCGTCAACATAATGTCCAAGTTACAAGTGTCCAGCCACACAAAAACACAGAGAAAGAACGAGAAAGTAGTTGTCAAGACCCATTCATTTGGTTACCATGGAACTGCACACATTCACAAGCACACACACCTTATCTCAACTCTCCTCTCCGGCGTTTTACCGTGTAATGTTATTTTGGTATGCTGAGTGCAGCTGAGGGTTATTGTAATACCTTTGTCGCCAAGTTCTCGCCAGCTGTCAGTTGAGATTGGGTTTTACCCCAAGAGTTAAATTTATTATCGTTCTCAAGGTATGACATACATCAACGGTTCTTCACCTTTTCATTTTTGTGGTCGCCCTCTTGGACCAGTGTTGTCCTAAAATCTGAGTATGAATTATGGAATCAAATATAAATAAGGTTTCTTCACAATAATAGTATTATATTATATGTGCTATTGATAGTATAAATTGTGATAATATTATAAAATATATTCATTCAATTAAAACTTTTTTTCTCTTTTTCAATGAATGAGTTTTTTATTCTTCACCCACCCCCTCCGATTTTTGCAATATTTTCTTTTAAAATTCCGCAAATGAAATCGGGAACAACATTCTAAAAACTTATCAACCATTCGATTTAGTAATAAAGAAATTAATTTCCAATAGCAAGAATTGTGTATATTTCAAAATCGAGCATTATTACTTTTTGAAGCACGCTGTTTACTAATGATAACTTCTTTATTATATATTTTTTAACTATTTAACCAGGTATTTACTTTTTAAGAAAATAAGTGTTTCTAAAATTCCTATTATATTTCCCCAAAATTTACTTATTTCTTACAATTTTATCCTATATATTTTCTAAGGAATTGTATTACCTCAAGGTTACTAACTACTTTCGGAACTATGATTTTGCAAGAATTATAACTTAATAAAATTTATTCTATATTTAGTGTCACCTGAAGTAGAATATGCAAATAAAGTTGTTTTAAGAATATTATTATAGTAAAAATTATTTAAATGAAATTTTTTGGGAAAAAATAGAGAGAATTACATATTTTCAAAGCATTTTCCTTTTATGAAACATGCTTCTACATTAATAATATTTTGCCTATATTTAGTTAAGACTTCTACACGGGGGTTAACTAAGATTTTTGAAAAATTTACATTTTCAAAGTTACGATCGATTAAAATAATAACGGATGCTTTTTGTTAAAATTTTTCTACTGTGATATAATAAAATATGAACAAATCCACTTCATAATTATACATTTCAAAAATCCTTGTTCAGGCTATGCAGACAAGTTCTAGCTATACATAAGCAAAATATTGTTATTATAGAAGCCTTTTTTATAAAAGGAGAATGTTTTGAAAATGTGTCATTCTTTCTTCGTTTTTTGCCAAAAAATTGCATTAAAAATGTTTTTTTTCTTGCATTAGTATTTTTAAGACAATTTTATATGTATATTCTAATTCAACTGACACTAAATATCAAAAAAATTATCCATTTATGCGCTTTTTCAAAATTACGGTTCTGAACGTAGTTCATAGATAACCGAAAAAATTGTGGTAAAAATAAGTAGTATATAAAAAAAATTAAGTCAATTCCTACTTAGGTCAACAAAGAAAAATTGTATATTTTGGTTACTTTTTATTAAATAGTTATAATTAATATATATATGTATATACATATGACAGAATCATACTATTAAGTGACAAAATAGAAAGCGATTTTCCTTGCAATTTTCCATTTTCCCTTCTATATAGGGTGTTGGACTATTTTTTTTTTTTTTTTTTTTGCTATTTATTCATTTATTAAATTTAATTATGCCAATAAAATAGTATAGTAAAAAAAATCACATTCTCAGAAATTATACATATACAATTATTCATTCTCAGAATGAGGCCATCCCAAGTGGGATTCGAACCCACGACCTTTGGATTAGAAGTCCAACGCGCTATATCCACTGCGTTACGGGGACCTAATGAACGATTGTCCTTTCTATATATACTGTTAGACTATTATTTTTGTGTGTTAATATTTATTCATTTTTTAATTTAATTAATGAATTCATATTTGAAAAAAAACTGTATTAACATCAAGTGTCACCCACTACAAGTTTAAAAAATGTATTTGAACTTGAATGGATGAACAGAAAGTATTTTATTAACGATTGAAAACTTGAACAAGATATATATATAGGGATAGAGTGAACTAATAATAGGAATTGAAAAAGACTCAATTTCCAAAATTGCTAGCCAATTTCTTAAAAAATAATAATTAGCATTTCAATGCAACGGATGGGTTATATATAACATATAACATGTATTTCTTTATTTTATATTTCAAAATAAAATTTCTAAATCGTATTATTTCTTAAGCATTCATCATACTTTCTCATACATTTCTCATTACTTTTCTTATGTTTCTTTTGCGCGTCTATTTTTTTTAATTTAGAGTTTTATAGTTTCTCACCGAATTTAATCTTCCCCTTTTGCTTAATTTTTAAATACTGCTCATGTCAGATGTACTAACGTTTGCGTAAAGTTATCAAGCAATTATTTTCCATTTAATCTTTTAGCACTTGGTTCTATGGGTTTTATTTATTTTGTTTCCATCAGTTTCATAAATGTTTAATATTTAATAATCTATATATTTCATGTTAGTAACACACAAAACTAGTTTAAAATTTAAGTAGTGCCACTTAAACAGAAAAGTTTTTTCGAAAGTTGGATGTATTTAAATGTCTTACCAGGGATGTCTTAAGATATCCGACTACGTTCGGAACCGTGATTTTAAAAAAGCGCATAAATGGATAATTTTCATGGTATTTAGTGTCACTTAGATTAGAATACATGTATAAAATTGTTTTAAGGACATATTGACAAAAAAAATTATTTAAATAATATATTTAGGCAAAAAATTAACTTAGAATGTTCTTTTTTTCCAAATGTTCTCCTTTTGTGAAAAATGCTTCGATTATAATAATATTTTGCCTGTATATAGCTCAGACCTCTGTACAGAGGCTAAACTAGAATTTTTGAAATATATAACTTAGAAGTGGGTTTATCCATATTTTACGACAACAGAGGGGAGCAATTTTAAGAAAAAAGCGCCAATAATTATTTAAATTGGTGGTAACTCTAAAAATTATGTGAATTTTTCAAACATTCTAGTTGAGCCTCTGTAGAGAGGTCTGAGCTATATACAGGCAAAATATTATTATAATAGAAGCATTTTTCACAAAAGGAAAACATTTTGAAAAAAAATTGTTCTAAGTTAATATTTTGCCCAAATATTGTATTTAAATAAAAAAAATTTGTCAAAATGTCCTTATAAAACAATTTCATATATGTATTCTAATCAAAGTGATACTAAATATCATCACAATTATCCATTTATGCGCTTTTTAAAATCACGATTCCGAACGTAGTCGGATGCCTTAAGACTTCTTGAAGCCCTGGGCCCATACGCAGAGGCTCCTATCCAAACATAGGCCCCACTTATGACTTTTAAATGTAGATAGTACATAGAATACGTTGTCAAATACTTGACAAACAATAATTTGAAACAAATAAATGTACATAATTTACAATCGCACAAACGGGATCCACCGACTGCTGCCTTTTGATTGAACGAGTAATAAGGGTATATGGTGATATAGGCTTAGGTTTATACATGGACGGCGGTCATCACATGTAGCCAGTTGACTTGTCCGAAATTCCCAGTTTTTCAGAGAATACATCTGGAAATAACATTTGACCGTTGCAATTATTCGAATTATGATCTTATTAGGGCTGAATCGAGAATAAGACGAGACCCCCATTATGACAGAGGCCCTGGGCCCAGTTGGCCCCTGCCTTTAGACGTCCCTATGTCTTACATATTTCTTAATGCCAATGGGCTTGATTCATGAAGTCACATGATAAAAACAAACACGTATTTTCCATTGAATTCAAAACAAACATAAAACTAATTGTACTTCTTCTATTTGTGTAAACCTCGGATAAAATTTCAAATTTCATATTTGGGTAAAGATGTTTAAAAGTTAAGGAAAAAAATTTCTTCAAAAAGATATTTTTTAAATTAAAAAAAAAGTCGTATTTTATGCTTATACTTTTAAATAAAATGCATTTTGTATACATATGTACTTTTTAAGAGAAAGTTTCTGCAAAGAGCAAAACTTGGCAACACCGGATAGCGTGAGTTGATTAGTTGGAAACACAAGATATAGTTTTTATCGTGTGACTATGACGCCACATGAGTTTTTGAATTGATTGGCTAGAATCACGTGGCTTTCACTATCATGTGACTATGACGTCGCATGAATTAACCTCATTGCTCAGTGCGCGTGTGTGTAGATACATAATTCTTTCACAACTTTTACTTTTGAAGAAAAATTCAAATCTACTTTATCGTATTTTTACAGTGTTATTCTATGTTAATCAAATTGGCCCGGTAGTAAAAGAATTAATGATAGTTAAAATTTATTTTATATTATTTTTCAAACGCTTTGTTTGTTTTCAACCCGACAAAAAGTAATCCTTAATCTTAGGTGGGTTCAATAATGGTATAATAACTGTATGGAACACCATTATGGAAAATGCCGATATGCTTCCATTGCTGCTACTAAAATACTTCCATTATGGAAGCATTTTAAAATATTACAGTCAGAAAGAAAATAATTTGTATCTTTGTTGACGAGGAAAATTATTTTTTTTTTAAAAAAAAAAAGGCGAATTTTGTTTCACATATTGCTACTGAAGTATATTTATATTAGAAGGGGAAAAAATGAAATAAGAGTTCGACAAACCTTATATTAGTGTAAATCATGCAGTTGTTATTGAAAGCGTTATTAAAATCCATCAACAAAATACCTGACATTATTCAGGTGCTCACGCACAGTTTTCTATAATTATACTTACTTCCGCTGTCATTCTGACCACCTAATTGATTCATTCTTTTGTTTCAAAGTTTTTGATTGATGGAGATAGAAACGTTCCAGAAGTCGAAACACTTTTTTTTTCTCCCTTTCCGTCAACTTTAATCAATGTTGAAATAATGAAAAAAAACTATCTTACACACGCAACAAAAAGAATTATCATTATAAAAATATTTCAAATTCTTGAAATATTCCATATTTTTCTTTTTAAATTAGTAAATAAGAAATTCCAGAGACACAGATGTTTTCTTGAAAAAGAAGGAAAATGTAATTGATGTATATGTTTTCCTGCAAAAATAACTAAATAATTATATATTGTGAAATTTGTTACATCGTGATAAAAGTTATTTTTTAAAATAATTAAATAAAACTTATTTTAGTTTTATAATTAAAGAGAAAAATATGAAAAAAAAATTGTTTTACTGTCTTCGTTTCATTTTAATTTTGACAAATTTTCATTTTTAAATCTTTTTAATATTTTAATTTTTTTTTCAAAGTTATTTATCAAAAATTTGAAATATCTCATTTTATCCATTCGAAATTCTACACATGTCACTATAAAAATATTTATATAACATTTACACCAAATTATTATAATTAACATAGTAGTTAAAAACAAAAAATATATTGCGTCATCTATATTCTACACAATTGTAAAAATAAAAGTGAATAAAATCTTATTCGAATACATAAATTAGATGTCATTTATTCTAGAATTCTGCTTTTTGGAATTTTTAAACATTTTATATTTAACATATGAGATTTCTTAAGCTCTGTATTACAAATATATAGTCTATCTGTTTGGCAATACGATTTAAAATTTTTACGAATATCCAAATCCAAAAAGAGAATTTTTGTCAACAACGCCTCCATATCCCCCCTTGAAAATCGATTTCGCAAAACACGTTTTTAGCGGATTTCTACTCAACAGAATAAGCACATTGCCCAAATTTCAAGTTTATAAGTCTAACACAGAAGTTCCCAAACTTTTTTGTTTCATAGACCCCTTCCCATGTTTTTCGGTTTGGGGTAGACCCCTGCTTACCTAATATTGAGTTTTTGCAGATTTACCAATTTAAGTGTCTTTTTTGACAACTGGTATAGATCTACTTACTTTAAACGATTTAAATTTCTAACTGAAGAGAAGTAAACATTTGGAATCAATTGTGTCTGATTTAACCCTAAATCTCCTTGGTTAGTAGTATCCGGAACTTATTTCCCCTCTTTCTTTTTTGTTTTGGAGATTGGCAACCACGCTGAAAAAGTAATTAAAAATTTTCTTATGATATTCCATAAATCGTGATAAATGACAGGTATGTCTTTTTAAAGTCAAAATTGCAGACATGGTCTTTGTTTTTAACAAAATTTATGCTGTCATCTTGTAACTTCAAATTAACCTTATTAAAATTAGTAAATCCATTAAATAGATAAAATCTGTTTTCCATGTGACTAAATTTTCTTTTAAAACTAAAATCATGGTTTGATTTAATGTGAGCCACCATCATAGACCCCCATTTACACCTCATGGACCCCTAAATTTTTTTTGCTGATGTGGACCCCTTGCAGGTCATCATAGACCCCTTTGGGAATCACTGGTCTAACACTACTTTGGAAACGAGACTTCCCTTCCCCCCCCCCCATAACGCTCCTGTTGACCACCGTTTGCGAGTCGATTTTCGCAAACTCGTTCTCAGTGGATCTCTATTCAGTGGCGCACATAAGGGAAGGGGAGGGGGGCGGGTCCGGATCACCCCATAGCCCATGATATATATATATATTTTATTTTATTGATTATTATCCTATGTATATAATACGTAAAATATAATTTAGTATTTGTTATTAATAATTAATTTAATTAATTAATGCTAATTATTTATCCAATAATTAATTTTTTAATGTTGTTTGTTCCCCAAAATCGACAAAAACAAAAAAAATTATGTTGGGCGGCGTATAGGAGCATGACACGAGAACGGTGGACTTTCTCTCCCGATCCTGGATCCTCCCCTCCTCCCTTAAAAAATTTTTGTGTGCACCATTGT